ATGTTCAAATAGTAGTGATGGAGGATTATGCTCAGAAGGATTGTGTGGTGAGCATTGTTACAATTATTCTTAGTAAGTATAATTTACTTGTAAATATAAATTAATATGTTTACGTTATACATTTTTCAGTGACACGCGAACAGTGTAAAAAATATAATTTGGATGAATGCGGTAAGCTAAACTTATATACATATGTACAGTACTTTATATAAAATTTAAAAGAATGCGAATCTTAAAAAAATTCAAAAAATTCGGCAAGCCGAGTGTATTTATAGTCTTATTCGTGGTCTCACCTCCTTAGTTGGTAAACAGAAATTCTCACTATTCTTTGTCAGTATCGTATATACTACGCTGTTTAGATGCAACAGAAATTCCGATTTTGCTAATAACTATTCATATAATGTTCATTATTATAATTTAAAATCTCTTTTATATCCCATAATAAGATCCCATAATGTCATCAAACGTTTATTAATTAGTAGTGTTAATGCTATTAGGGAAAATTATGCTCTCGAATTAACAAGTTTGGATTAGAAGTTTAGTGTGAATAGAGACAGCATCTTCTGTTCATTCACAATCATCAGCTTACAATTATACAGTACTGTAATTATGATTTATGATATTATAACAAAATAAAANTAAAAAGCCAGCATCTGATGAATAAGATATTTAAGACAACTTTCTATAAAATTAGATTTTAAACTAGAGTTTAAATTAAAAATATTGAATTAATTTAGATGATAAATGTCATGTTTTCTTAATAATCGTGTTTTTTTATTCTTAAAATTAAATAAAGTTTAATTATTAGCTAGTTAATATTTATTATTATTTTTTTTTTTACATTTTTAGAGGGAATGTAAAGGGACGACATCCATACAAAATAGGAGTACCTTGTTCGAAATGTTCAAATAGTAGTGATGGAGGATTATGCTCAGAAGGATTGTGTGGTGAGCATTGTTACAATTATTCTTAGTAAGTATAATTTACTTGTAAATATAAATTAATATGTTTACGTTATACATTTTTCAGTGACACGCGAACAGTGTAAAAAATATAATTTGGATGAATGCGGTAAGCTAAACTTATATACATATGTACAGTACTTTATATAAAATTTAAAAGAATGCGAATCTTAAAAAAATTCAAAAAATTCGGCAAGCCGAGTGTATTTATAGTCTTATTCGTGGTCTCACCTCCTTAGTTGGTAAACAGAAATTCTCACTATTCTTTGTCAGTATCGTATATACTACGCTGTTTAGATGCAACAGAAATTCCGATTTTGCTAATAACTATTCATATAATGTTCATTATTATAATTTAAAATCTCTTTTATATCCCATAATAAGATCCCATAATGTCATCAAACGTTTATTAATTAGTAGTGTTAATGCTATTAGGGAAAATTATGCTCTCGAATTAACAAGTTTGGATTAGAAGTTTAGTGTGAATAGAGACAGCATCTTCTGTTCATTCACAATCATCAGCTTACAATTATACAGTACTGTAATTATGATTTATGATATTATAACAAAATAAAAATAAATATAGTAATTAGATTATTACGTTTAAAAAATACTGTATAATAACTGTAGATTTATATAGATTTCCACTTACATATGCATTAGCATCGTCTTACTTCATATTTATTTTTCTGAGAAGACTAGTGTTAAATTATGCAATATTCCTAAAAACGCATTACTCGAACAAATAGGACCGCTTTATACTTTCTAAGTAATGATAATTTACAGATTCTTCCAAAAACAGAATGCTACCATTTAAAATTATTATATAAGAATATCGTCATGTACATTAAAACATTGGAAAACTGTCCAAGTTTCATATTTGCCCATTACAGTTTCTTAATGGGTACATCTCGTGTCACATTGCACATATCCAACCGATATTCAAATTCTTCCTACACTCGCTACAGCATATCTATTGTCACTCTTCATAGCAGCCACGATTCTATAGCTCCTGCAGATTACTCATGTTACACAATAATGAATGATTCTGCAGAACACAAATACTCTCTCTGTTGGGATGTTACCATTTTTATTTAAGGAGCTCCCTAGAAGTAATATATAACAATACATTTAAATGCAGATGGAAGACGAAAATAAGAGTTATTCTATAAATTGGTATATAATGCATCCTTCTCAGATAATAATTAACATAATTAAAGTAATTTAAAATGGTAGTACTGTATTCATTTTGGAAGACCCTGTATCATTATAGTCATCAATATAAACTTTCTAAAAATTTAATGTCTATTTACTCTTTCTCTTGTTTTCTTAAATACGAATGAAATTTCTATTTAGTGTTATTATTAATAATAAATTGTAATTTATATAATAATTCATTTTTTTAAATTTTATTTACTTTTAAGTTTGTAATCTAAAATGTCATAATTGTGGAATATTTAAAAGAGAAAGTTGCAAATGCGAATGTAAAGATGGTTGGGATCAGCTCGATTGTTCGAGTAAGCTTTTATTTTATATTTTTAAAAATTAATTTTTTGAATTAAAAATCAATTTAAGCATATATTTTATTAATATTTTGAAATAAATAAATTTTTGTTAATAGTTCCGTGTGCTGATAAAAATAAAAACTGCCATGATCATACGTGCTCACTTTATAAGGGAAAATATAATCCATGTAGGAAAACATGCAAATTATGTAGTAAGTATAGCATTCTTTTATTAATATATAATTAATTATATTTATTTGGAAAATTTTTAAAGTTTATTTAACATTATAAAATAAAATTATCCATCTGTTAAAATGAAAATCTTTGTTATCCATGATTAAGAATAGTACAGATTTTATAATTTGAAAGATGATATTTTAATTTTAAAATTATTTAAATCGAAATTTTACTATCTAAAAATAAGTATTTGGTGCCGTTATTAACTGTATAAATTAGTATAATTAGCATTATAAATTTGTCGAATTAAATCAAATTTTTTAAACTTTAAAAATATGAAATAAGTAGAAAAACTCTTAATTATAATATTTTCTAAACTTAATAATAATTTAGTTAAATTATTTATTTTAAAATAGAAGTTATAGATGAAAAAAATTTAACAAATACATGTTGTAATGGAAAAATTTGTTCCTATGGATTCATTTTAAATGTCTCTAACTCATGTTTGTGTGATATTTTGTGTCCAGGACCAATTTGTGGTAAGTTTATCTTAAAATAATTAAAGAATATAATTAAATATTTTTTAATTAGCTAAAATTTTTTAAAATTATATTTACTAATAATTCAATTTTTAAATAATTACAGATAAACCAGTTCCTTTATCTGCAGTTATCATTATTGTCATTGTTCTCATTAGTGTCTTTATGATTATGATTTGCTTTCTCTTTATAAAATATAAATATAAATATTTAAACATCTATAAATTTAGTTCTAGTATGATAAAAGTTTTTAGATAATTAAAACTTCAATTATATGATTTGAAAATTAAAAAAAATAAACTATATTCCAGTTGTAAAATAGTAATGTAATAATTTTATTACAAAATAAAAGATTTTATATCGATGTTTTCGTGGAAGTATCACAGTTTTTCGACTATGTTGACTATGTTTTTTGTTTTTTTCTTTTCCAAAAATTTTCTAAACGCAGATGTCGCTTTGGAGGACAAGAATATTTTTATCTTCACATCCTACAAATGTGGGTTAGTGTGTTTTCACGGCTTTCCTAACTTAAGAAAACTTACTTGTTTCCGATAATAATAAGAATTAAGGTAAGTAAAACGTGCCAAAAACTGTCTATTCATTTCGTAAATCATTGCTAAATTTAACTACTTTTCAATGTTTATATACTGTCAAATGTCTATATTTTTTTAAGTTTCGGTTTCTTACCTTTTTTGTGTGTTTCAGGAAAGGTAATCATGTATACATTCTGTAAACTTCTAATATATTAATTAATATTCTGCAAATTTCTCTTCTTACATTAATATAACATAGTTTAAAATAATAAAATATCCAATTAACAAGGATAGGGAAGTGAATTTTGCTTAAACAAACCAATGTCAAGTATGGCGAAGAGCCAAAATTGTCAACTGTTACATGAAAATCGACACTATTTTAACAATGATAAACGAGCTTTAAGCTGATATTTTCAAGAAATTATCCGAGATAAAATCTTGAAAAATTGATTAATTACTGTTTAATTTACAAGTGTTATAATTTAAAATATATCTAGATTGGAAGTATTGCCAAATTTCCCTCTGTTTTTAATAAAAAAAAATAAAATTTTAAGATAAATTTAGTACTTCCGCTTGTCGTGGGAAGTATAAATTGAAAATGGTTCTAAAACTGGTCATGGCAATGAAATACATAAATGTCGTACAAAATTCTTAGATGGAAATTGTTAGAAATATATTTACTCCATTTTTATTTCTTCCAATTATCTATTTATATTTTTGTTCATAAATTATATGTGGCTTTATGCAATCTTATGAGAATAATTTTGTATGCGTTTTAATAGATGTATTTTTTTTAAATTCAAATTTATCTAATTAAAATATAAAAGGAAGAAATTGGAACTGTAAAAACTGAGAATAAGACATTTTAACGTGTGAAAATAACCCGAAAATCCTTTGCGTTGATGAATAGGTCAGGAAGTTTATTTCAGCATGAATAATCTTCCCACGCTTCTGGAGTAGAAAACTTTAAAGAAAGTTTTAAATTTATCTTTATACTACGTAAATTAGATATAAAATACAGCAGATATTTTAAATTTTACTATTTTCCTAAATTCTTATATAAATATCTTCATAATATACAGTTCAAACATTAAACAATATTTAAACTACATTTTAAAATAATAAATAATATCATTGCAATAAATTTAAGTTTTAAAATAAAATATTTAAATAATAGGATTTTAAAATATTAATTTTTTATAACTAATTGGTTGATATAATTATGAATATTAATGATTTTATAAAACTTCCTGTTAAAAAATCAGCTTCTATTTAACTTAGTAAAAAGCAATACTTCTATCATCAATCAAATATAATGCTCCGTCTATGCACAATTATGAGTTTCGCATACATACATTTAAATTACAATATTATTTTTATTATATAATTATACATATACAACAGTTATTTCAGAATTAAAATGAAAAATTATTAGCAAAGTGATGTATCTGGATATAAAATATTGGTGATGTGGCGATAATCCAAGTTGTATTTACACTGTCTTTCGTCTGAATGGTTTATTTTTAGCTCATTTTGTCTACTATATTTTGTCTAAAAGCTAATATCTATGCCAAAACTAATCAACATCTTTACGTTGCGTCGGAATCTATACTATAGATAGAAAAACATGGAGAATGAATCCCTTACTATCTTCGTCGAAAATAGAAAATATATTCTTTCTAAAAACCTACTAATGTTAAATATAGACTAATGTTTCGAAACATATTAACTGAGTTAGTGAAAATGCTTGCATTAATTTCAACATAATTCCTGCACTTGTAACAGTTTACCATCAAGAAAAGCTTAGTTTGGTTTGATGAGATGAGGTAATGCAAAATATGATTTGGGCGATTTGCCAAGGGACTTTCTATGGAAAACTCTACGTGGTCAGACATTAATCCACGACCACCAGTGTTCAGTTGTTCATAAAAAAAAATAAAAGATAAATATGACACAGACTAATAACTAAGCTACAAGTTTTAAATCTTAGGATTGGAACTCAAGACCTAATTATTAATTCATATTATGAATCGATGATTATGATGATGATGATGATAATAATAATAATAAGCGCAGAGCCAAAACGGTTAGGAATTGAAAGTTGAAATTTGGTACACAGTTAGGGTACGTCACGAGAATGTACAGTACACTAAGAAGGGATTTTTCGAAATTCTCCCCGCGGGGGAGAGGGAGAGGATTAAGGCTTATCCTAAAAACTCAGCTTCTACTGTACTATTTTAGATGCGATTTTTTCATTTTTGACTGCCATGAGAATGCACATCAAGAAGGAATTTTGGAAATTCCACCCCATAGGAATGAGGAGGAGAGAATTAGTTTTAGTCAGTATAACAGTGGCGAGCCGTCATTGGAAGCGGTGGATGCGCCGCTTTCCTCGTATTTTCTAAAAAATAAATACATATTAATTTTAATTATATGAAAATAATCGCACAATATTTTATTATAACCGCATTATGTATCTTATTACAAATTTCTATACTACACGTGAAAAAATAAGATTGCTACTGTATATTCGAATATTAGTGACGGAGTGGAAGTGCTGTACCGTCAGCATCCAAACGGCCAGATTCGCTCATGCGCTTTACAGAGCACCAACCTCACCCGGTTTAGCTGGTGGAAGCCTAATCTTGGGTGGATGCTACACGTATACCGCATCCAATTCTATCCAGGGCCGATTCTGGGCTGTTAGCCGCCTGCCCGCTAGATATTTGGCCGCCCTCGCCCGATTATGTGAATCGCGAGTACATTTATAACTTAACCCAACCGATAAGAATTTACTCGAATGTTTTTATGATAGTTCTGTATAGTTGACAGGAATTTTAAAAAATCCATTAAAATATTTGATATTTTTATTCCGCTCTCCGATTTTATATTACTCACGGATTTCAATGTTAAACCAGTGATATTACGATTTCGTACGTCCCATCTGTAAGGGGATGTGGGGAAAAACGTGTACAGTTCTTGTATAATGTTAAAAAATTAACCGTTACTTTGGCAGTTTACAACTAAGTTTAGTGAATGAGAGAGATGCACGAGGTACAGAAAAACCTCTAGAATTTATATTCCTTAAATTTACGATTTATGTATCTATTGTCATAAAAATTTGTCTTTCCACTTTTTTCCCGACACTATAAATATTCGAGTACAAAGTAACAGGTTTCGACTTATTTCTATTTAAGAAGTAGTTAAATAATTAAACGATTAGGGAATTGGGGACATAAATAAAACCCTGACGAAAGAGCCGAAATTTTACTTAAACAAAAGCTTAGCCGAACCAATCTCTAGCCGAGTACAGTGGGGACTGATTTCTTCGTAATATTAGATGCAATAAAGAAAAAATTTTTCCAGTTCAATGACAGTGACCGAAAAGTTGTAAATTTTGAAAATTTCTAAGGATACTTGGTCCTAAAACGAATTAGTTAGAAAACAAACGACGGACAATCTATTAAGTTTAACATATTTAGATTTTTATAGCTATGGTGAGAAACGTTTAAAATTTAAAACAACCCTGTCGCGTCCTTTGAGGTTTACAAATGATGCGACAAAAGGGGCATTTGATATTGACCGGTATCGGCACCCTCGTAATTTGGGATTTGGCATGCACCTACCAGGACCGTCTCTGATTCCATCCATTAGTCACTCGTAGGGAGCTATTTGAATAAGTGTATTGTTTTAAGATTTAAAAAGTAAAGAAGATTTTATGTTATTTTTATGTACGTTTCTTTACATAGCTATATTTAATTATAATCTTCTTTAAAAGTAT